CTGGAGAGTGGCCATTTATTATCTTTCAGAGATATCATTTGACTTTAATTCCTGATTCCAGCGAGGGAAGCCATCTGGTCTATGTACGAATCTTGACATAAAAAAAAGATAGTCGAAAAGGGGATCATTATTATTGCTTATTCAAAGTGTTGACTTGAAAATGAGCATCTGGTGATAAGAGAATTTTAAGACATGAGAAAAATAAATAATTTAATTGTCGGGTGGCACATCCACCCAGTTGAAGGTTGACCAGCGGAGAAGCCAAATGTCAGGTGTCGACAATGATTAATGAGTCAGTAGAGGTCCGAGCTAAAGTGGATTTGGAATGTGATAAGGAATTAAATGGCAATCTGGGATTTGTAAATGTTTTGGCCGAAGGAAAAGAAAAAAAGGATTTTGCAAACAAAATTTTCGATAATAATTCTAAGAGTGCCAGTCTAGCCACGCCCACACTCCCGAGAGATCATTGGCTAACTGGTCGCATGGCGGAGGTGAATGTATGAGAAAGACGGAGAAGTTGTTAACACCCACTGAAGTGATTGGTATGAGATACCAATGTGAGAGAGAAAGAGTCTAGGAGTCTCCTTCGACCTTCCCTCACGGACAAGGGAGAAACCACCGAAATGGAAAGTGATTAGTCTTCCAAAAATGGGAAGTAATTAATTTTCCTGGCCTAAGAACAAAGAGAATTTCTATTGGGAATTGAGAATTGTCAAAGAATCCAAACCACGACAGAACCCCCACCCCGGAGTTGGTCGGTGTCCATATAATAAGTGGCAGTTTTTAGAGAATGCAGACACGTTCAGAGTTACAGAATCAGAGAAGCTGACCGAAAGATTTCCACGTCCTGTTCGACTTAGTCTTCCTACCAACAGCAAGTTTTTATTGACGAATGACTTAAGATACCATAACTAGCTTAAGAAACGCAAAAATTGTAACGAATCCATAGAGACGGGCCGGGAGAGAAACACACTCCTGTATTCAACAGATAGATAAAGTTAATTGTTATTTTTCAACATATTTGAACCTCGTGATTTTGTTTTATTATTTTTCTTTTACTTACGCTTGTGCGGTATCACCTTTACCCCGGATTCAGCTTACACTACGGCCCGACGCCTGATTGATTTCGTCTACCTAAGATCAAAGTCACAACGTGGGTAGGTTAGACTTGAGATCAAAGCAGTTACTTCGGTGACTAAGCGTTGGAGGCGAGATGAGAAAGACAAAGCTGGTATCGAACCGGAAACGTCCAGATCGACCGGGACACAGGCTGGTGGCAGCGACAAGGAGTCAACCCCAAAACGCTGGTGGAAGAAACCTTACCGCTTCGCGCCGCAACTGGGAGTTGACCACGGGCCGACGGCGCAGTGTCATATATTGACGTCGCGACCAGTGGACGTCAGAGACATTTCTTTCTGCGGTAGACCAATTGCCAGACTAGAGAACCCGGTCTGCCCTGCTATTTACCCATTGCTGGGGGGAGAAGAGGATTCATACCTTCCCCAATACGGCTGCGCGTTCTGAGGTAACTACATAGAATTCATGGTTGAATATTCATGGTTGTATGCACATTGTATATTCACAGTCCCATGTTGCGGTATGGTTGCGCCATTGTATGCAGTAAGTATAACTATTTCCTGACGTGTCGAGTCAGGAAATGGCAATTCATCTGGTTTGACTTTTTAGGAGAACATTTTTTTAAAAATAAGCAGTGAGAATGTGTTACCTTCCGGTCCAGTATCAAATTTTGCCTTTAGTTTTTGGATTCCTGGTCTATTGGGACTGTTATGTTTAAACTTCCAAAAACTTCAGTTCGGGTGTCTTTCATATTCTGTTATTTAATCGAATGGGAAAACATTCGATCAAAATGTTACTCTATCTAGCTTAACACGTGGGCTCTGCTTTAACGTATCTATGGGGTTGTTTTGAGCTCAGTTGGTTTCTGATCGTAGCGTCGTGTGTGGTCTAGGTTGCATGTTCTCCATGTTCCATTTTGATTTATTTCTTTCGGTCGTATGCTGAGCGCACTGTATTCCATGCTGGGCATCCTTGTTTGGTGCAGGGATACGTCCCGCCACATCGTCTACATTTAGTATCGCCTGGGGTGTGCTTGATAGCATCAATACTTTTTCCTTTGTGGTCCTGTATATCAGCTAGCTGGCTCATGTAGTGTATCGATGCTTCGTGAACTTTGCATATGTTCAGAGCTTCCTGTACAGACAACGTCTGGTCTTTCGAGAGGAAGTTGTTTCTGTAGTTCAACGATAATCTGTTCGATTAGTCGCACCTCCGTTTCTTTTTCATCTCGAAATTTACATTCTTACATTATTGTTTTCGAACTTCCACGAATTAAACCGTTGGAGGCCTTCTTCACCCAACAATAACAATATGTGGTCAACTTATTTTTCTCCGATATCTTCTGTACGGAGAAATACAGCTCACAGCGCTGCTTGAAAAAAATGGAACGATTCAACCACATTCTTCGATTGCTAGTCCGGAGACTTTGATATTTTATGTATTTATTTATTTTTTTTTTTTAACGACAGATTGGTTAGCCCTAAATAATACAATGACGGATAACGATAATATTGTACTCACAGTCTGTCGGTGAGTATCTCTTTTCGCGAAGGATTTTTTGTACATGGCTGTACTCGTTTTTTATTGTCCACCACGTGGCCCGACTATTTCTTCTTTTTTTATTATAGCCTTCTTTTTAAGTGCTATTTTCATTCTTGTCTCACCTGACCTTGTTTGTTGGGATGTGCGTAGTTTACGGGGCTTTCACTGTTGCCACCATGTAAACAGATTGATAGAACACGAAGACATTTGTGTGGTGCTAGCCAGCCATGTTCGAACTGGCCACTTTATTTTTAGAAAAAAAAGTGTACTCCTCTTTTGAGAAGAGTTATACAAGGGAGACAATTCCAAATCATGACACCCACCTCAGACAAGATTCAAAGAAATACATTTGGGGCCGGATTGGCTGAAGGAATTGCAGGAAAGTTGTTAGTGTTGACAGCCAACCGCTTTCGGCGCTCCACTCCAGGTTTTCTGTCTGGATTTACTGCCATAGCTTTTTCTGTGATTAGTTAGATATAACCGCAACGCAGCGAAGGTTAAACATCAAAGTTTCCCTTCCCCAAGATGAACTGCCTTCCTGGGTTGTCGAGTTCCATCTATCCGAAAGAACTGGTTATCCACCTTCGCCGATTTTCCTGCTTGAAGCTGAACTTGTCCCCACTATCACCTTGGCTTTGATACATATATAATGTACGTATATAAAGATTATCTTTGGAACATATATTATATACGTATATAAACATTATATATATTGCGTGTTTTAGAAGCTCCCAAAAAATTAACGGGTATATAAAACGTTAGGTAAATAAAAACACTAGAAAGCATGACGAATTACGAAATAGTCGTCCATAAATAAACACACATAAAAATCATAAAGTTTGTTAATTTTGGAAAAAGATAGCGGAAAAAAATTAAAATATAAATTGGGATTTAATACTCGGAGATTAGGAAGTCATTATTTAATATGCAATAAAATAATTCATACAACCCTATAAATTATTTTACAACAATACTAATACCTAAACTATCAATTGATAAAGAAAATGAACAAGAAAAGAGAATGATAACTTAATAAATATAACTTTAGGTAAGCAAAAACATAAAGTAAAAATAAGTCAAACAATCTTCAAGTTAGTTGTACAAAAACAAATAAATAGTAATACATAAAATCACGGCAACTGTGTAAAAAGTTGAAAAAAATAATAATAAACAATGCATATATAACTTCAAATAAATCCCCACTGGGTGCGCCATAATTCCAGCCTTGTGCCACATCTAAGCTACGCTTAGAAAATCAATATAATTTCAAATAAATATATTATTGAAATTATTACGGAGTCGCTAACTGGTGCCCTGTGATTGGATGAAAAACAACCAATCACAGATTTTCACCAAACCCCCACGAGAGCGGTTTTTACAAACTCTCTTTCTTTTGCTTCTTGGTAACCTCAGAGACAACGCGTTCCCGTCTGCACTCTCCGTCATCTAAAACCAGGACATGTGTAAGGATTTAGACAGCAACTGAAACACAGAAGTCAAGACACTCTATTTTCTTCAACCCAGCCAAAACGACACAGGAAATATAAAACTGTTAAAAGGACGCATCTTTCAGATAAGTTCCACAAACCCGACTGTTTACAATGAAACTTTCCTCTCTTTTCCTACAATACAAGTTTTTCAAACATTTTCATCTGTGTTTGTGCTCCTTTCTTCTTGCCGGCGTCACAATATTTTTGTTACCAAATATAATTGGGAAAATCCCAAAAATATTGATCATAATATATATATATATATATATTTATATAATAAATGAAATAAAAGAAGTAATAACTGGAAATTATATAACTTTTAAGCAATATTTGTTTGTTTTTTCAATTAAACTTAAAATCCGTTAATTTTTTGAAGCTTTAAAAAACGCGTTATCTCTCCTTGAGTTCAGAACGTCATACTTTGATGAAAAGAAAAACAGAACAGAAATATAGTTTTGGGCGAACAGTTGTGGAGGTCGCTGCAAATTTATTTAGAACAAAACATTTATAAAAGATAAAACGAATTACGTTGTTAGAAAGGAAAAATATTCAGAAGAAACTATATAAAAAAAAAACGGAAAAACACATCAAAGAAATAAAATATTTGTTTTTTAATACAAATTTGAAATTGCCTTTGAATTTTTTTAAATTTTAGTCACACCTCAGATAAAAACAAAGGAATATATAATATATATATATATATATATATATATATATATATATATATAAGAAATTAAACCAAAATATTTGGAGAAAATAGACCGCTTTCCAAAGATGGAACTTCTTCCCTACAGCACTTGGTGTGGTGTTGGGGCGCCTTCTAGTCGAGCGAAGTCACCCTGCTGGTACAGCGGTAAGCAACAAATCCTCCTACGAGATCGAGGCTGATATTTACTTGCCAAGATATCCCATTACAACCATGATACCCGCGATGAATGAAAAAATGGCACCAGCAATGGCTAGTCCCATGGACCATCCGATACTGTACATTTGGTAGCCTTTCTTCGTGTTAAATATGATTACGCCAATTACGACGAAGGCAACTGCAGATAAGAAAACAAAAAATGCATTTAAATTATGTGAAATTACATTCAGATACCGAAAACATAAGTTTACACAACGCCCACAACGCTTATGACAAGTAAATAAAATTACAGTTTTAAATTTATTTTCAGTGTATACGTGCGCTTAAACTTGTTTTGATTTAAATGTCGACTGATTTTGACGGCCAAAAGTTGTTCATTCAAATCGTTCCTTTTCTCTTTCTTTCATTCTTTTTTACGAAACATTCTTCTACTTCACTTGATGATGTGTTGAAACATAATGGAGGAAGTGAAATAAAATTGAATAAAACGGATGCGCCTCAGTGAGTTTCATTCTCATCCTTAATTGAAACGTGTCCTTGAGAAAAGTTTAATAATTGTTTATCATTGAAATAAATGCATCGTCAAGCTTGATCGACAGCGGGGAACCATTAAATGATTTCTTGCTTTTCGTTATATATATATATATATATATATATATATATATATATATATATATATATATATATATATATGTGTGTGTGTGTGTGTGTATGTATGTGTAAAAATTTCAGCTAAAGTAAAGGGACAATATGAATAAAGACGAAAGGAAAACTTATCTTAGTCGGCGCGTTTCGTCCTCCGAGGGATTTTATTAATGCAACTGTGACATTTGCCTTATTAAATTCCCTCAGACGTCGGTTAAAATAAGTTTTCCTGATGTGTTTATTATATATACATATACATATACACACACACACACACACACATATATATATATATATAATATTAGTGGTAAATATACACATACATATGCAAAATATATAAATATATATACATACATGCATACACATACATATATATTTTTTGAATAAATATATATATATATATATTCCAATTATTTTCTGGTTTTCATACTAATTTAATGCGCTTGCACGAAATCATTAGGTAGTCGGCAGTTAATTTATTGGAAATGGACGAAATGATACAAAGAAGCTAGTTGGTGAGTGCATAATATGCACGCACCAACTAAACTCATCGAGTGGGTAGGCCCATACGGCCATAATGGAAAACCCGAAGAATCACCTTTGATTGAAAAACAAATACCGGAAAACAGAAGTGTCCGCCGAAAGTATAGGAAACAATAGTAGTCCGACTAAGGAGCGTAACGTTATATACAAAAGTGTGCTCGACAATACCGGATACTCAAAATTATATATATATATATATATATAAGCAAGTGTAAATGGATATAAATCCGACAGAATGAAGAAATTTTGAAAAAACAAACAAAAATCCTTAAATGTAGTTAAAATGAAAGAAATGTCGACGTCTGACGTTTCGGTTTAATAAACCTTTTTCAAGACAATATTCATCAAAATACAATTCAGTTCAATATGACAAATACGATGGACATAAAAACACAAGTCTTATTCAGAACAGATAACTGAAAATTTTTAAAATGATCAGCCTTCCGTCTAACAAATTGAAAATTCACTCATCAGCGCAAAATGACACCTCAAAGGCCACTACAACTAGATCAATGAAAGATACAATTTCAGCTGCCTCTGATAATATTTCGTTTGGTCGCATCTTTTTACCAAATAACCATTTGACCGAACGTATCTCTCATAATCTAAATGCATTAAAAATTAGAACTACTATATTACCTACTAGGACTATCCGTAGTTTATTAAATAGCACCAGCAGACAACATATTACATCCGATGCTTGCATCTATCAAATATCGTGCAAAAATTGTGACCTAAAATATGTGGGTGAAACAGGTATGTCCTTAAAATCTCGTGTTTTCGAACATAAACGAGATATTCGTCTCGGTAATTTTAACAATGCTTTAGTTGTACACACAACTAAAGCAGATCATAATTCGATTTCGATTCCGTGAAAGTATTAAAATATTTTCATAATAAAAATCTCAGGAGGATTTATGAAGCAGGTATAATATCCATCTCACGCACGGTGAATACTAGACCTGGTTTCTTTAATATTTCCCCCTTTTAGCGAGATTGATGCTCGACAAGCATACACATAAAAATTTTAGAACCTAATAGAATTCTTTTCATTTTCTTTTCATTTCAAAATAATCACAAACTTTTAGGAATACGTTATGAAAGCGTCGCCCATGTGACGACGGCGTGACCATGTTAGACGGAAGGCTGATCATTTTAAAATTTTCAGTTATCTGTTCTGAATAAGACTTGTGTTTTATGTCCATCGTATTTGTCATATTGAACTGAATTGTATTTTTGATGAATATTGTCTTGAAAAAGGTTTATTAAACCGAAACGTCAGACGTCGACATTTCTTTCATTTTAACTACATTTAAGGATTTTTGTTTGTTTTTTCAAAATTTCTTTATATATATATATATATATATATATATATATATATATATATATATATATATCATTATTACATGTAAATATATATATATATATCATTAATACATGTAAATAAAAAATTTTAACTTAGGCTTGCCATTTAATTTTTCTTTTTTCAAGTATTTAAATTTAAGAAAACTATTCCTTCCTTTTGTGAACTATCAGGCCATCCTGCATTCAAACCGAAAGCAAATCTTTTGTGGAATTTTTTTTCCGTATTTCACGATTCAAATATTCAAAATGATTCATATCAAATAAATGTCTTATCCAGAAGAGTCGCACACTTAATTATTAATAGTAATACAATCTATTATTATTATTGTTATTATTATTATTAACTTTTGGATTTGAAATTCTGGCACAATTTTTGTTGTATGGCAAGTAGTTCTTCATTCAGTAACTCTTACAATTTGTTCAATAATATCTTTTGAACGACCATTACTTGACATATTTAATAGTGGGCTGCAAGTCATTCAAAGAGAAATCTTGGTAATGCGTTATACTTTTGCAATGAAACGAGGACTTGTCTGTAAAGATGCCTGTGGTAAAAATTGATTAACGATTATTTCTCGGTTGGTTTAAGTAGTAACTTTCTTTTGACTTCTCTGACATGTAATAAAATTACCATACTGCTATCTTATGTGTCATGTGGACACAACCTCTCATATCTATTGGCTTGCAATGGGGATATTTTCTCGTCTCTCAAAGACACTGTTTTTAAATGCTCTCGCCGACTTAAACATGTCTAAGTGATTTTCTTTCCTTCGTTTGTGAATTGTTCACAACTGAAAGAAAATTTTAAATTGGGATCCAATTTAAGATTGGTGCATTTCCCTTTCGTTTAACAATTTATCTTTTTTTTTCTGAAATGCAAAAGTTTCTATGCTTCTAGAGTACACAGTTAAGTAATTGTGTGGTTATTTCTCTGGCATTTTCATTGTAATTTGGGTAATTGTCAATAAAGATAACTTTATTGAATATCAAATAAATCTGCATAAAATAATGGTATTTATTATGCTATGTCCATAGCTAGATAGATTTAAAATTCGGTTACGCTGAAGTTTTATGAAAACGATTAATTTATGTGGGAAATTATCAATGTTCGAGAAAATTTATAATTTAAAATAAAAGCAAGTGTAGTGACACTGAAGTAGGATTTCGCTTGCAGGTGTACGTATATTGTCAAATTGAACCCTGACAATTGCTTACAACATGACATCATCTACTTTACGCGTTATGAGGACGATATAAATTTGAAACAGTATCAAAATTATTTAACTCTCTATCCCCCATATTGTATATGTATTTTGCTCATCTTTATAAATATATATTTACATTTTCAGTTATATTATATGCATGTAGATGCAATTGCACTATTATAGAGAAAAATCCTTCTAGACAAAGTCTATCACTTGCTATGGTCTGATGTTTGGTATATTTTAATAAGGGAGGCATAACTTGTTTATTGTTTTAGTAATTAGCAGTATTATATTTATAAAATTTATGCAACAAAAATTATTTCAAGTAAAAAAAATTGCAATGCACTCAAAAAATTAATGCAAATCTTACAAAATTTTCAAATTCATAATATGAAAGCTATTCAACAGATGAAAATGCAAGTCAGTTGATTACATTTTATTATTAATATAATATGAAATATCAGATAATGAAAATTTTAAATCAGTAATTAGTATAACATTACAAAAGCATCATAAATTTGTGTGATAGTTCTTAAAATTAAAAACAGCCAATGTAATTACTTAGAGAAAAAACTAACAACTAGATATTATATTATTACTATATTTTAACTTGACAAATATGAGTTATTTAGTTAAGAAACAGTTATTAGTTATCTAAACAATTCAACTAGCAAGTGTAAACAAAGAGGAGTCATTGCTCGTAGAAAAGGGTAAAAAATTTTGTCATGGAATATCTTATTCACGATTGAATTAAATATTACTGACCTAAATATAAGAATTGATTACAATACCGCCTGCATAAAAAATTGCCAAGCTTTACCAATGTTCATTTGAAAGTTAGTGATAATTTGAAACAAAAAATGAAGTAAATAAACAATATCTAAAGCCTAAATAATGAAGCTTAATCCAAATGATTCGGTCAAATTTTATCAGGAGGGCAGTTAAACTGTCAAGTATCCGTCGACTAATTTATGCCCACCGACTCAATTTTGGGATATTGGAAATTAACAGATTATAGGTAGAAATCTATAATTTTCATAACTATTGCTGGATTTTGAAGTAGCCATTAATGGGCTAATTAATATAAGAGTTAAGAATTGTACTTACCTCCAGCAAATGTGCACATCATTATTGCCATCAGAGCATTTCGGCCTCGACATGATTCGACAAACATGTACAAGAATAAAATGATGAAGGCAAGAAGTAGAGCAATAAGGCCAAGAGTCTCTAGAGCCTGGCAAGCCTTGAACCAATCTGCAAGTAAAATACATTTGATAGATATTATTATTTAATAACAAAACATAGCACAAGAACTACTTCATCTGTTTTCAATTGTTTCTTACGAAATGTATCTTTTAAAATGATCACCAATTTCCCCCAAGAGAGTTCATCACCACAATCAGCCTAAGTTAGAGAAGCAATGGTTTTACTCCTATAATTAGATTGTTAATATTATAAATCAGGTTAGTCCTTTTATGCTGATTTTATTTGTAGAAAGAGAATGTCCCGATTTCTTAGATAGATAGATAGATAGATAGATAGATAGATAGATAGATAGATGTGCACATGCACACACACACTTATTTGCATGTGTGACGCTATGCCACTTTTGTTACAAATTAATGTATTCAATAGACATTCTTCGCAGAATTTCAGTTCAAAATTTAAAATACATTTAATTTAATAGTTTTCTGTTTGAATTTTCTGATGAATCACAATTCTTCCATTTAATAACTGAATAAGCTCCTTGCGAGTTCCACGACTATAAATTACTCGTGAAATTTTCCCCATTTGCATCGTTAAATAATCGAGCTTATCAACTTCAACAAAATATTACAATAACAATCATAATTATGGATGCAGCTTATTATTTAAAGAAGTAAAAGGGTACAAATAAAAAGTTTAAGAATTAACAAGGTTTTCTGTTTCACTTAAGCAAACGTTATTCTCACGAGAAGGATTATCACCTTCTCTATCTTCTCATTCTTTCTTTCACTAAAAGCAAATAGCGCCTCCAAGATATTTTTCTTCCATCTTTCATCGCAATCAAAACGGAATAGTCCATTATCTATATGAGGTAAGTGTAACGTACATGCCAGCTTAACCAAGTAACTAAGAAAGAGTAATCAGAATGATAATATGATTATTACCTGAAGCATTAAATATTCGTCAAAAACAAAGTGATAACATTGTAAATTAAAAAAAAAACATTTCACCCGACTATTATTAAATATTTGTAGTTAGAGAAATAGATTTGTGCAAATTAGAATGTTTTATTTTTCTAACATTTCATGTTTAGAATGACTAAGACGAAACTAAAAAGTGATTTTCAAAGAAGTAAGATTGAATTTGTATTTCTTTATCAGTAAAATACAATTTTTTTCATTTTTCTCATATAAATGCTCATAATTTGAACCTACCAAAAAATTTATTTTACTTATAATAAATTCTACTTTTTCGCTCAAGATTTTATTAAAACTTTTACTGATTTTCAAACTTTTCACAAACAAGAAAAATATGCCGAAAGATTGGTGTTTAGAAGATTGCAAAAACATTCGAAACTTACACATCTTGAAATTCAAATCAATATATATTCGCTAGAACTTGTTTTCAACAATGCATAATTTCTTTTCTCGAAAAAATTCTTCCACTGAATAAACAAAAAGATAAACAAAAGATGTCATATTTATTTTTTATATATTTTTCAGTTTATATTGTTTTCGTTATCTTCCTAGGATTGTTTTTCAAATTCCAAAACTTTTCTTCGGTTTATACATCTAGGGCTTTTTGTTAAAAACAACAAAGATTAATGATTAAAAAAGAGTAATGATTAAAAAATACACGGACGAATCAAAATTCTTCTCGGCACTTTAGAGAAATATTCTTCAAAAGTTTTCAAAAACTAAATACGTCTCTGAAAACAAATATTCGAAATTTACAATTGTTTTCAGAAATCAATCTGTTACACTTCATCTTTTAGTTTCAAATACTCGCTTAATATAACAATTTCGAAGAGTATAAATTATTATACATATAAACGGCATTTACTTCTTGCTGCGACCCGTCCTGATAGGTTTAGATCACTACGTATGTATAACATTCGTTATCGATTACCAGAAAAGAATTACAATTATCAATTACCAGAATAGAATTGTTGCCTGCATTGCTTTCTAAAATCTTCCCCATTCTTATTCTTGCAGTTCTTGTGCATCCATTCCCCAATTATGCCTTTTACCGACATGAGATCATTTTCTTTAAAATATTATTTTCTTTGAAATATGATATAGCAATTCATTTGTATCACCCAATGTAATGATGTCCGTCATTTGTGTCAGTTTATTTTCAAAGAAAAAGTTTATCATCATTTTAAAGTCATTATTATTGGTAAGAAAAAATCATAGTGGCTTTCCGTGTGTATTCAAAAAAATGTAGAATAGTAATTTTTCTTTCGTCTATATAAATTTAGTAGCTTTAATAAAAAAAAAAAATACGCATATTTTGCTTGTATGTAGGAGTGCGTCTGAAAGGATTTGAGGTTGTGTCTCGATGGGATACTTAGCGAATATTTCAACTTGCGTATAACAGATGGGCAAGAAAGCTATAGAAATTAGGTTAGGTAAACGAACTCAAAATGGAATTAAATTGCAAGGGTGATATATAAGTAAGGAGTATAGGAGGCATAATGATAAAAAGGCAGCAAGAGAAGAAGAAAAAAATGAGTTTATAAAGCTATGAAAAAATGCACAGAGCACAAGGAAAATATGGACGGCAGGATGGAGCAGGGAAATGTTGTAGGTGGATGCTTCTTGTGGTTCCTTTCATGGGCATCGTCTGATTCGCACTTATTTCTACAAGTAAATTTGATTCTACTTCGTTACAAACGGCTAGAAAACGCTGTAAGTACATTAAAGCTATGAGGAACACCGTTATTTTTTAACGGCTATATAAGAAGGGTGCTGAAAAGTTCTCAGTCCAACAAAGAAACCCTTCCAAAAGATATTGAAGTTTTTTTCAGATTTTGCCCTTTCAAAAACTTTTCAGCACCCCTCGTACTATTTTCAAAGATTTTCTAGTATATTAAACCATTAATTGTGAGAGGACCACATAACATGTTGTTTTCTAAGTGTGGAATGTTAAAACTAGGTTAATTCCAAAATAAAATTTATAAATATAAATACATATTTGAAAGTAAGTTTTGAATTAATTCCGAACCACTGACAATTGGTTTTTCTTTATGCATAACATAGAAATTGCGTGTATAAAGTGGCTGAAACAAATTTTAGGTAAAAAAATAGTTCAAAAGCCAGTGTTTATTCATTATTTCTTTCCTTCAACGATAATTTTTTAAAGACCAAAATGGATGTGAAACCTAGCGGTTAAAGCGTTTGTGTTCCGATTATAAAACCAGTTCAAATCTCGCCGTGGTCAATTTAATCAAGGAAGTGTCTTGATAATATTGGCCTGGTGACATGGTTATGTCACAGGTTGACCTAAGCCTTTGAGTGGGTAGACAAAACTGAATGAACAAATAGAAGCTCTTAGTTGACTATGTACTCAGAGTTGGTGTCTTGATAAAAACACCCATTCCTATTGCGAAGTATATATCACACACAATGAATGAAATTCTTATTTAAAAAACAAGAAGTCACGTGAGTGTGCAGTCTGGCTCAGGCGCAAATAGTGCAATATGATACAGCAAAAAATGATCCAAGCTAAACATGGGATTGATACAGAAACGATAAAATCGGCGAGAAGTGACAAGTCGAAACATTTTTTACCAAATTTGGCTTCAAATGCAACAAGCAATAAAATGCATTTCTAAGCATTCAATCTACCTCCAGAAATCATTGCATCTTTTTCGTTTATGATTACTTTAACCACTAAGACTAATGAAAAGTTTTTAAATAAATTTATAGTTTTTAAATAAATAGATTCTTTAATAAAGTTCAGGTTGAACTCAGGTTATTTGAATAGTAAAATAGCTTGAAAGTTGTCGGTGGTTTTCTTTGAAATTGCATATACCCGGCACATTTGCATGTATGTACTGTGCTTACTATATGCGACAGGAACACTGCAATAGCATCTCACCCATTCGACTAAAGATGGAGCGTTGGTGGATACTGACGCCAGCATGAGAGTGGCTGCGGGGATTGGGTAATTTTTGTCCCTGGCCTACATATACGCGCATGGGCATCCTACATTAGCCAACTTTGTATCAATCTTCCCTCTGTGGGCGAGAGATGAGTTAATACCATCCAGCTGCTATTGGGAACCTCAGATGTCAGCGAAATGCCGTCTCTTTCAAATACAATTATCATCTGTAATAACCAACAAATCTTGGCAATGAGAATAATGAATGGCAAGTTTGCACTTTGTTAAGTTTGCTTTTTTTTATAAAATAACTATGAATTGCACAACAAATGTTGAGAAAACGTAACCTGTCTTGAGTGAGAAAATAAGTATAATGTTTTTATTTATATAAAGTTGTGTTCACAATGCTGTCTGAAACGAATATCTAGTGTTTCTATACCTACATAAGTGTGATCTTTTATTCACAGGTTTGAACATAAGAATGTAAAAGCGAAAGATCTATTGAACGAGGAAAATGTTTTGCCGTTAAATCACGCCGTCATCCTCAGACTATGAGCGAAATATAGATCTGGTGAGTTATGAAATCATAAGCTCGAAATAGTTATGTTAAAAATACTGTTTTTGTCGTCGTAAATAAAAAGTACTTTCAAACGAAAAAAAGATTTTGTTCAATTCATCAAGCAGTAGTTTCCTAAGTTGTATAATTTCTTTAAAATTTGCATGTGTTTGCATTTATTGCAGTGGGCTGTTCGCAGCAGATTAAATATGACAGGAAAAACTACCGAGTAAGTAGTAAATGTTACCTGGTCGTTCTCGTTTATCGAAAATGCATTGCCGATCCGGGGACAGTAGGTAGCATTTATCCTCTGTTCATAAGGAAGGAAGCAAAAATAACAACATGCAAGTAGGGAAAAGAACTGACTGGTTATAGAAAAAAAGAGGAGAAAAGCAAAAGAAAATCGCTTCGTACAATATTACTGTCTTAAGGTTAAAAACTTCAAACAACGGCAAGCTAGATTAGATTATACTACTTTATTGTTTTAGTTATTGTATAGTTACATTGTCAAACAGCTACAGGATTTTAAAGTAACATATTATATACGATGCTGGTAATTATCAAATGCTCTAAAAAAGCACTTTAACTCCAAAGCTAGTGGACTTAA